GTGACACCGCTTATAGGCGCTATCTGTGATACCAATGTGACACCGCTTATATGGGCTTTGTGTGATGTCAATGTGTTTATGTGGGCTATCTGTGATGTCAATGTGACACTGTTTATAGGGGCTATCTGTGATGACAATGTGACACCGTTTATATTGGTTATCTAGGGGCTTTATGTGGTGCCAGAGACTCGGTCATAGTTATCTTCTGAAAATTGTTATTGATTATAATAGATCAATATTTCAACAAGTAAGTTTAATGTCTTGAACTAACATATACAAAGCCTCACCTGAAGCAGTAGAGGTCCCGCGGGGTTTACGGTGGCGTGGTATCGACCGGATATGATTTATTGATGCCCGGTACTTAGTACTGTGGTTGGTGCGTGCTACTTGGCACTAAACCCTACATATAAACCCCGGTCGGACGCCCTGCTTTGTTATATTCTAATTAGCAGTAATATACAACATAAGTTCGCCGGTTTTTCATTAGCTATCGTAAAGTATTAAGACATTTTAACTCGGCTGCAGCATTTTATACTGTGTTGTTATATACATCTAGTGATTACTAAAACTTAGAACCTTTTGCTTAAATAGTGTTCATTCTTCAGCACATACAGTTGGGAGCAAACTGAACTTGGTATCTGATGCACTTCGTTGGTCACATGTAGTGAACAAGGAAGTGCACTTGACAAAACATTGAAGTGCACTCCAGTTCACTTTAGTGTTAACTCCAGGGCACTACGATGCTAACTCCAGTGCACAACGATGTAAACTCCAGTGCACTACAGTACGTTGTTTACCAAAGTTTAAAAGTTTGTAATGACATGAGCTCCTTTGCGATATGAAAATTGAAAGAGAAAGGAAAGAGTCATTCAACTGAATATTTCATAATATGGATACACATGTTTTGTTTGTTTTTTGATTACTTAAAATTTCAGCTGAACATAATCATGTGCATGTTCTTGTTAACTCCATTTGCACTAGGCTACCAAGTTTAGTTTGCTACCAAATGTATATCTCAAATGTTGCTGTAAAAAAAACGTTTAAATATTTTGTTTTGTGGACTCTAATAAGTTGTGTTAGTTTTATGTGATCAGGCATTCACTTACATTTGGAAAGTATCCAATTAATTTCAATGTAATTAACATCTTTATGCTTCATTTGGTGGCTGAGTTATTAAGACAAGTAAGCTCCTTGATCAATTTTCTGGAGTACATTTTCCTAACCAGGTAGTCAATGTCGCTTTTATGTTTGTCTCCAACGAATCGATGTTACATGGAAGCATGTTTCTTTCTGTAGTTTGAAATCTCATTGATTCCCCCTCCGACAAACAAGGCCATATGCCACGTGTCTGTCTGATATCGGGTGTGTCCTGCCCCGTAGGTGAAGCTGAACCATTACCAGAAATGTATATTCATGGACTAACAAAAAGGAATCTGTCTGGACGTAAGATCTACTAAATTTCTGCATTACTTATAAAACCTTTTGTATCTTAATTCCCCATAGTCCCAAAGGCTTAAACAATAGCTTACAACGTTATAACCTATATCATGATCAGACTGGTTGCACTTATGTCAATGGAGCCCCGGTAACAACACCACCAATGATCCGTGCACCTAACGTCTAAAGTCAGGGCCCGTTATCACATTACAATCGCACCATTAGTGTGGATCGGATAGGATGCACAGTACCCATCCTGCCAAGTTATACTCAAAACGGGTAAACAAGGCGTTGCAGTTGCCTTAAATGCAACATTTTAGCAAGAAATAGCAAGTATTTTTAAGGTCTTTTAAATGATATAGCCAACATTGAGGTGGGATAAGGGAGGCGTAACAAAGTATAAAGATTCAGAAAACACCATTACAATGGTACACTTGTACGGAGCACAGACAGACGTAAAATACCATTACAATGGTACACTTTTACGGAGCACAGACAGACGTAATATACCATTACAATGGTACACTTGTACGGAGCACAGACAGACGTAAGATACCATTACAATGGTACACTTGTACGGAGCACAGACAGACGTAAGATACCATTAAAGAACCCGGGTAGGTGACTCATACTTTTGTCAGTTGGAGCCCACAGGCGACAGATTGGCCGAGTGGAAAACAAACATACTTTTTGTGTTTGATCGGGCGCCCCTGACACTCTTAACGGCTTTCCTAGACTGGAGCTATCGAAAATAGGTCTCTACCTAGAGTTGGCAATAAAACATCTCCATAGTCTGCATCAACCTGCATGTTTGGAAACCCTGTTGTGTTAGTTTGTCTGTCAGCAGTCGATATATATCATACACATCATGACATTCGGAGAATCAATTGCGACTTGTAAGCACCGTAGGTTGGGAAACAGGGATGTTACTATCAAGAAAAGGAAATTGTAGTCCATCTTAGTATTAAGCTGTCCCTGTTTTTTATGTTATAAATTTAGATCGAGGAAATCTGTCGATCAATCCTTGCATACTTTTCCGGTTGAACAATGCGATGAGTTTAGGACAAGATTGGTAATACTGTCATGAATAAAAGGCTGTGCCATTATGCTTCTGCAGTAAACCCATTCAAGTATACTATAAACTTATATATCATAAACAAATTATATTTTGGTGAACATCGCCCATGCTTCTCAAAATTGCCCATATTCAATGTCAGGTACATGAAGCTCTTAGATTATTCCAATTACCTTTGTCTACAGGTGTACACACACATACATGCGAGGCTTTTACTAATGGCGGGTGATATGCCAAGCTGTGTAATCGGTACAGTGTTGATTAAAGCTTCACTCTTTCGTACAATCGTCAAGGTACCTCTAATAATGTTGTACTTGAAACCATTCATCGATTATTCGGAGTTTTAATTATCCGCTCTATTTACATTTCAATTCAGCTGATTAACATCCCGAAAATAAATCAATATATCGAAGCATTTATTACCATGGAAACTTCCCAAATACGGTGTAATGATTTAAGTATTGTTATAGACATTATTATATTGCGTTATTGGACTGGTCATTCTAACAGTGATAACAAGTCAGTTAAATGATCAGGCTCGGTGCTTCTCCCCCTTTATTGTAGTATAAATACAGCAAAAACAGGAAACAACATACAATAAAAAATTTGTAAGCCGATAAACCAGTGTACTGTATAAGATGGTAAACCAATGTACTCCGTAAACACTTGTGTACGTATACGCCACCAGTGTACATAGTATGCCGCTATACCTTTCACTACCTTAGTTGATTTAGCAGTATAACCCGGAAGATGATGTACGTGTTACTCTATACGCTGACCTGTATGACCAGTACACTGAATTTGTTGATCAGTTGATCGGCACCAATCAGAACCAACTACCATACAATCAATGTACCAAGACGACTTTAAGACGGGTTTGAACTTTATACAGAAAGTCTACAAATACTAACGAAATTAAAATGCGCAACCTGTAAGACCTGTAGGAGCCAGTCAGTGTCATGTATTTGTCTATTTGTTCATTCAATCACTCACTCAATTATTTTCTTTTTTCTTTCTTTTTTTCTCACCTTTCTTTCTTGTTCCTTCTCTCTTTATTTCTTCGCATCCGTTCTTTATTTTTTTTAAACTTGCTGTTTTTCTTTCTATAGTTAGATTGCTTCATGTTTACGTCTGATTTATGTATGCACTCTTTTCAGCTATAAACAACTCGAATTAAAAGTTAGTACAAATTGACGTAATATTTATCTATATTGTATTTTGCCTCCAGCTGAAAGTACATGTGCGCCAGAGATAGAGACACTAGGAATTATTATAATCCAGATGATAGTGTACACTAAAACACCACTTATCGTAAATCTGTAACTCTACATTGAATGTGACAAGCCATTTGTAAAGCTGGATAAAAGATATTTATTGTAATGGCGGCAGGAGATGATCGTTATGCGCTATGAAATGTGCATTACCACCCATAAACATACAATCAAATAATGAATCATCTGTATAGTTATGTTATTAAATCGTTCTAGCACTAGCGGGGAGTCACACCGTCATACTCCTTTATTTCAAATTAAATGTAACCAATTAATCTCCGATTGTACAACAGAAATTTGTAAGAAAATAATGTCATTGCAATTGTACATATATCAGCATAGCATTGGACTACGGAGGGAAAACAACACAATAATAATAGCTAAAATAGATAAAAGTGTTTGCCCCTATTTCTACTTCCACCCAACACAGCAGCACACATTTGAGATATTATTTAATGTGCGATTGTCTAAAAGAGATATTTGTTTGAGATATTATTTAATGTGCGATTGTCTAAAAGAGATATTTGTTTGAGATGTTATTTTATGTGCGATTGTCTAAAAAGAGATATTTGTTTGAGATGTTATTTAATGTGCGATTGTCTAAAAAGAGATATTAGTTTGAGATATTGTTTAATGTGCGATTGTCTAAAAGAGATATTTGTTTGAGATATTAGTTAACATACAATTGTCTAAAAGAGATATCTGTTTGAGATATTGTTTAATTTACGATTGTCCGAAAGAGACATATGTTTCACATACTGCTTAAAAGAACTTTTCACAAACTACATTGACATAAAATGACAAGTCAGCTGAATTATAGCAACCCAACTTTACTATGACAAACAAACTTATAAGGTATATAACGTATCTTACTTATAGTTTATGTTATATTATTAAATCGAGCACCGTGTCGTCATTGTTCCCAGGAAAATCAAATGATTTTATTTTTAATTCCATATTTGTCATCTACTAAATATTTTACGAAAGAAAATAAAACATTAAATTTAAAATGTTATAAAATACAAAAGCTAATTTAGTAATAGGACGCTTCAAACACATAACATGAAAATAGCTGATTATCAACGAGAACAAAATTTAAACATCACACATGAATAAAATATATATTATGTAAACAAAATGTGTCAACAAATCAAACTTCAGTAATGTAATGACAGTAATGGAGCACATGCTAAACAATAGTGTGTTGTGTTTGTTACCTTGGGATGCGAGCGCACACACTGCCACTACAGCTAGGCATGTATTGGTCTCCATGATCAACGACAAGTACTCCCAGACCTCAGACCGCTTGTTTCAATACATGGATGCTATTTCAAACTGAGGACATCACGAGGGCTGCCTTTCTAGATCCTTATCGAGTCCATGATGAAAGCTAGTATGTTTCCAACTCGGCGGCGATTGGGGAAGCGAGGCTTCAGATTCGCAAAACAACAAATGCTCAAAGCGATACAGATTTCGGGGAAACCGTCCTTTATGACACGCAATTGATTAATTAGTTGTGTTCTAGTGAATATGTGTATTAAATGATTTTTTTTCTTTAGTAAGATACATTTAGTCGACTGTCACTTTCCTGTGTCCCCTGTTTCTTAGAATGGTGGAGTCCAAAGCAGAGCGATAGCTGTGGCTGGCTACACGATCGATTGATTGAGCGCGAGACGCGTTACCAAGGGAAGAGCACATGTATTAATTATTAATCTATGTAGCTCGTTGTGATTATGGTCTGTAACTCTCGACAGATCATTTTATTGTCATGTATATTTTTTTCCTATTTACCCGTAGCCCGGGTCTAGACAGCAGTTTGCGAAGCCTACCCGATTCGTGGGGGAATTCCCGACATTTATATAGAGAATCGCGTTAATCAGCAAGGGGGTCATTCTATCGCCATTACACGTTTATCGAGTTATTTTGAACGCTTCCAGCGCATTCTATGTACAGAAATATAGTTACTCGTTACGGTCTGAATGGCCCATTAGTTCCTACTGTGTGTCTATCTGGTGTCAAGCCAGTCGTCTCACTGTCCCCACAACAGAATTGTAACATTATATGATGACTAGTTGATTCTATACTCCACTGCGAAAAGAAAACCAATAATATGTAAACAAAACCGTAATTTAAACTCAAAGTCGGTGAATTAGGGAAACATATGAACAAAGGAAATACTTCCACGTATACACTTAGAAACGTACAGGGCAGGACCGGGAGATCCGGAAGGGTAAGCGTCTTCTCTTTCATCGATGACACCCATAATGTAAGTCTGGGTCAAATCCAGATAAGGTTACGTCTTCAAAATGTGAAGTGGAGTAGTAATTTTTATATTGCACAAGAAAAAAGAAAACTTCCCAACTAGAACATGATACTTGCCCAAATAGATTTTTCATCCACCTGTTTCACTAGAAACCCTATAACAATTCAATTCCTATCTTTCGATTAAAATTGAATACGCGATGATCTGATCTTAATTTGCAACTAGAATGCGACTGTCTGGACGAATAGACGTATGTAGTGATTTGTTTGTATACACAGTTAAATCTAAGTATTGTTATTAAAAGCTATAGAGAGATGACACGCGCTGAGCAACATTGATATAGAATTAGAAGGTTTCGTCTGTATATTAGCTGCTTAGAGGACAGAGATCGGAAGAAAGATATTCTAGAAACAGGAGGGTTTCTGTATTTTCTGCTTAGAGGACATGGAAGTGAGAGAGCAACGTTGGTCTGGAATCAGAGAGTTTCACCTTCATCTTCTGATCAAAGCAAATACAGCACCAAAAATCAAAAAGCAGGTGAGATGTTTTTGTGTATTTATATTTCTACTTAGAGCGAAGAGAACAACATAAACCTCGTAGTATGGGGTGTCTGCTCATAGGACGATGGTCTGGCACAGAACAATGATGGGACACAGGACAATGGCGAGAAATAGCAACATTGACGTATAATGAAAGAAATCTTCTGGTTGGAAGATAATGGATGGTGAGAGAGAGAAACGGAGAACGTCGAGGTGTGTTACTTATGTTTCTTTGATTCCAAAGTAGCCACCATAACTGCCATCCTCACAAAACGAAACTTAGCAGCACCACAGTAAACTATTCTGAACCATCCACTTCTACAGTGTGTACCGACATTTTTTCAAAATTTGAAGCCTCTCATTACTGTAACGAGTATATAGTAACTTACCAACCCCGGATAGTTATAATTTGAATAGCATTGCTAATATTAGTAATATTATTCAGAAATAGACCGCAGATCGATGAGGGTATATAAAGGTACATGAAACAAGAATAGTTCATATAAATGGTGACGTAAGCCGTACCTGATCGATGTCCTCCAATTACCATGGAATAATGACAGTGCTCAAGAAAAAAGAGAAGCAGATTTAAGAGTAACGGCAACCGGAAACAAACGTCGAAGTCTCTCTACTGTCAAGAAATGATAGATAATAAAACAAATTTAAACGTTACTATCCTCTCCAGCTACATCAAGAGCTAAATCCGTGTTACTCTCATACAATTTGACATGATATAGGAAACTAGGTACAATGAAAAGATGGAGATACACATGTGTGTAGTTGATTCTCATGGAGATACACATGTGTGTAGTTGATTCTCATTGAGATACACATGTGTGTAGTTGTTCTCATGGAGATACTGTAGTTGATAACAATGAAAACGTGTGTGATGGCACCACTTCTGTTTTAAACAAAGGAGAGGAAGGTTATATATTTGTTTAAAACGCCATCTACATGTGTACTTCATACAAATGGCCATACTCGGAATAAGATTAGCACGTATTTATAGTCATACTCCAACTTAAATGTGTGTTTTGAATACGTGACGTCTTGACACTCCTATAACACTCACGGAAGTACGGGAACCAATGTAACCTTCTGAACGGACTAAGGGCTCGACGACACGACCTTTCGAAATATTGAAAAATGTTTTTTTGTATTACATGTTTTTTTCATGCTTGTTGGCAGCAGCTTTAGCAACGGACGTGTAACTGAAATATGGGAAAAGGTAAACTCTATCACACTCGAGGGAACCTAGAGTACAACTCACATTAAACCCCGTCACATTCGAGGGAACCTGGAGTACAACTCACATTAAACTCCATCACATTCGAGGGAACCTGGAGTACAACTCACATTAAAATCCATCACACTCGAGGGAACGTAGAGTACAAATCACATTACACTCTATCACACTCGAGCGAACATAGAGTTCAACTCACAATAAACTCCATCACACTCAAGTGAACATAGAGTTCAACTCACAATAAACTCCATCACACTCGAGGGAACCGAGATTACAACTCACATTAAACCCCATCACATTCGAGGGACCCTGGAGTACAACTCACATTAAACGCCATCACACTCGAGTGAACAAAGAGTTCAACTCACATTAAACTCCATCACACTCGAGGGAACCTAGAGTACAACTCACATTAAACTCCATCACATTCGAGGGAACCTGGAGTACAACTCACATTAAACTCCATCACACTCGAGTGAACATAGAGTTCAACTCACATTAAACTCCATCACACTCGAGGGAACCGAGAGTACAACTCACATTAAACTCCATCACATTCGAGGGAACCTGGAGTACAACTCACATTAAACTCCATCACACTCGAGTGAACATAGAGTTCAACTCTCATTAAAATCCATCACACTCGAGGGAACCTAGAGTACAACTCACATTAAACTCCATCACACTCGAGGGAACCTAGAGTACAACTCATATTAAACTCCATCACACTCGAGGGAACCTAGAGAACAACTCACATTAAACTCCATCACATTCGAGGGAACCTAGAGTACAACTCACATTAAACTCTATCACACTCGAGGGAACCGAGAGTACAACTGACATTAAACTCCATCACACTCGAGGGAACCGAGATTACAACTCGCATTAAACTCCATCACACTCGAGGGAACCTGGAGTACAACTCATATTAAACTCCATCACACTCGAGGGAACCGAGATTACAACTCACATTAAACTCCATCACATTCGAGGGAACCTGGAGTACAACTCATATTAAACTCCATCACACTCGAGGGAACCGAGAGTACAACTCACATTAATCTCCATCACACTCGAGGGAACCTGGAGTACAACTCACATTAAACTCCATCACACTCGAGGGAACCGAGAGTACAACTCACATTAAACTCCATCACACTCGAGGGAACCTAGAGTACAACTCACATGGTGGAATATAATAATAGTATCCATTTTTACTCTCAGAGACTGACTTTTACAGTGTAGAGGTATAATAGTTACATCATGTGTATACATATTGTAAGAGGTAACTGATGTGGGAACTCCTGGAAGAATTAAGAACTTGCTGTTGTGCCCTCTACCTGTGGATATAAAAAGTAATCAAAGTTAATATGATACATCGATAACAACTTTAAATGGAATCTTTACATTTTCTTTCTATTTCCTGACAACCACTTTTAGACTGAGTGTTGAACTCTCATCCTAGTGAGAAAGGCAATGGGTACTGTCCTCAGACCAGGACATATCAAAGTCGTCCTTAAACATGGTAGTTGTTATTCCCTGCTTAACACTCAGCGTTTAGAGTAATCACAACAACTAGTCTATCCGGATCCGTTGTCAGAATAAAATGTGACCGGGTGCAATACTATACTTGCTGCCTTCAGCATGGTATTTCAGTGAGATGGCACTATAAAGTCGGCGCGAGTACACAAACATTCACCCTCCATCACTCATACAAACATGCACGCGTATATTATACACACAGAGGCACATCATTAAATGATTTTTGCTTAACGACTTAAAACAAAACAAAACTAAGCTGACAATACATATGTACTTAACAGTTTATTTATAAGAAAGCTCTAGTAAGTGTTTTTCTAATACTTCTTCATGTTTATATAGTTTAACATTTGTTCCCGTAGTGAAATTAAATACGCCTCGTTGGTAACTATCTGTAAGATCTGTAGTCTTCAATCGTTAATTCTATCATATTCTACTATTAAAAAAAGAACCAATTTCCACTCGTTAAGAATATACTTGATACACCATATTAGCGGTGTATTACAGTTTGTTAAAACTTGTTCCTTAACGAATTTTGAGTATGATCTTTTAAATTCATTGAATGGTGTTTTTTGGTGTTTTAAATGAAATATGATGTTATACACTCAAAATGTTATCGGGTTTTTTATATTGCTAAAACGTGCGTCTCCGTGTAATGGATTTGTCTTGAGGTCACTAATTGAAGTTACTTACTACCAGCAGAAACTTTGTGTGTCACTGTCACGAATTAAGACAATGACAAGGACAATTGTTTTATTCTCTGTAGAGAATACATATATACAAATGGGTGACAA